AGCAGCATCTATAACAGACGGACAGCTCCTTTAGAATCCTCATCCGTTCCTCTAGTGGTTTCTCTCTAAAGCCTCTGCATTTCTTGAGAGGATGGGGCTTACGATGTAACCCTGCATCATCCACTTTTCCTGTAATCCAAAGGGCAACTTTTGCACAATTGGGTTAACACCTCTGGACGTATCTAGATACGTGAGCCCAGGTAGATCACCCCCACTCTTAGCTGCTTCTATCTCTAAAAGCAGGTCTCCTAGTTCTCTGAGTTTATGGTGGTCTTTAGCTGATATCTTTGGAGAAGTCATTTCACTATTTTCGTGAAAAGGGCTTTCTCAATAGCTTCTGGAGACCCGTAGGTCGTATCTAGCCTCTCCCAGATCAATTCCAGACCAGCAGGTAAATTTCTTGCATTTACAGATTTAATGCGACGGGCATGATCTGCTGACTCTCTCCCTAACCACCTAATCAATAGATCAAATTCCTCACCTGCTGAAAGATCGAGGTTTTTGATGGCATTGAGAAATGATGATTTCCAAGCAAGATAATTTTCGGGACAGTCATCAAATTTGTTAAGCCCTGATGTCACCAGCTGATTTTGTGCTAAGAACTTCGCTAAGTCGTGTGTGACCGCATCATGTGCAGAATGATGAGTTGGATGACTTATGTTTCATCCAGAATGGGGCATCGGAGCAGCTGGACTCTTAGAATGGCGTGTGAAGCCATGTGATGACTGAGGACCCCTGTGGTCTCTGGTGCTTTTACAGAGTGCTCTGGTTGAGGATGAAGGTGGGCTTTGTTTCTCCTTAGTTGCTCTGTTCCTGTCTGAACTATGTAGGACCTTGGTGTATTTGCTTTGCCAAGCACTGTTGCTGGTTGTTGTGATTTAGAGATCCATACTGCTTGTCCTGGTTTCAACTCAGGCCTCACAGTAGCTCTGTGTCTCCCGTTAAAGTTCAGTGTTTGTGTCATTTTCAGCTGTTCCGTCTTTTTCTCTGAATACTCACCTGTTCGGCCATCGTGGTTTGAGTTGCGATTTTGCCTGTGGTAATGGAGATCTCAATTTCCGGCCCATTAACATTTCAGCGGGAGAGGGTCCATGTTGCAGCGGTGTAACCCTGTAGGCCAACAGTGCACGGTAAGGATCAGGATTTTTTTTAAGCAATGTCTTAATTGTTTGTTTTCACGGCCCTTTCTGCCTCCCCATTGCTTTGGCTGAAATATGGGCTGCTGGTTATATGAATAAAATCATAATCTGCC